TATAACCCAGGCCTGAATGTAATTCTAAATCTGTAATAACAGGGGTGGCTAGAAAGTAGACTTTAGCCTACCAAGCTACGCTATGTCACATCAAGAACAGGAAGTAACCAAACTCTGATACCATTAATCTGATAATTGCAGCTGTGTACTGCTTGTGCTGGGTTTGCATGGCAAGGTTTTGGTAGGAGAAGGGATACAGGGCACGGTCTCTGTGAGAACCTGCTAGAAGCTTCCCCCATGTCCAATAGAGCCATTGCCAGCCAGCTCCAAGATGAACCCGCTGCTGGCCAAGGCCAAACCCATAGTGATGGTGTTTGTGCCTCTGGGGTAACACACTTAAGAAGGAGAAAAAGTCACTGCACAGGAGAAAATTCAGCCAGACAAAGGAGTGAGAATATGTGACAGAATCAGCTCTGCGGGCACCAACATTAATGCAGAAGGAGGGGAGGAGGTGCTGCAGGCACTGGCGTGGAGATTCCCCTGCATCCCACAGTGAAGCCCCTGGTGAGGCAAGCTGTCCCCCTGCAGCCCATGGAGGTCCATAGTGAAGCAGATTCCACCTGCAGCCCATGAAGAAGCCCATGCTGGAGCAGGGAGATGCCCAAAGGAGGCTGTGACCCTGTGGGAAGCTTGTACTGGAGCAGGCTCCTGGCAGGACCTGTGACCCCATGGAGAGAGGAGTCCACACTGGAGCAGTTTGTGAAGAACTGCAGCCCATGAGAAGGATTCATGTTGGAGAGTTAATGGAAGACTGTCTTCCATGGGAGGACCCCCATGCTGGAGCAGAGGGAGAGTGTGAGGAGTCCTCCTGTGAGGATGAAGGAGCAGCAGAGACAGCATGTGATGAACTGACTGCAACCCCCATTCCCCTGTCCCTCTGTGCTGCTGGTAGGGAGGAGGTAGAGAATTCAGAAGTAAAGTTAAGCCCAAGAAGAAAGGAGTTGTCGGAGAGAAGGTGTTTTTAAAATTTGGATTTATTTCGCATTATCCTACTCTGATTTGACTGGTAATAAACTTATTTGCCCAAGTTAAGTCTGTTTTGCCTGTGACAGTTATTGGTGAATGATTGCTTCTTGTCTTTATCTCGATCCACAAGGCTTTTGTTATATTTTCTCTCCCCTGCCCACTTAGGGCATGGGAGTGATAGAGCAGCTTTCGTAGGCATCTGGCATCCAGCAAAGGTCAACCCACCACATTGGTTTACCTATAGCTCCTCTCTGAGCTTCAACTCACTATCACTGACTGAGCACTTAAGATCTGAGTCCCTGAGCAACCTGGTCTAGAGGAAGGTGTCCCTGCCCATGGAGGGGCCTTGGAACTAGATGATCTTTAAGATCCCTTCCAACCCAAACCATTCTATGATTCTGTAATTCTGTAATCTATATTCACTTGTTCTGTTCCTAGTGCCATCTTGCAGTCTTGACCATCAAAACAGATTATTTATCCGTACAGCCAGCTGAAGAAGTAGCTGACATAAACACTATGGTAAAGCTAAGGTTCAAAGTTAATAACCTCTGAAATTTAAGGAAATGTGGATTATCATCTGGGGCATACTTAATGAGAGGAAAGAAATGGAGAAACAGATCAGTCATTTGGGTGTAAATATGAATCACTTTGTGGTTTACCATCTGATTACAATAGAGTTCTAAATGTTCTCATTGAATGCTATTTGCTTTCATCTCTAGAACTTTTCCAGCTTCCATGCTGACTTATGTAATATACTTTACATAAAATGTATATTCATAAAATCTAATGTATATTCCTCAGCTGAGTACCACAAACAGCTCTCCTGGAATATACTATGTAAACCAAACACCCATAAACAAATTCCAAGATTCAGTAACAACACAGTGTGTCAGGGTTTATCCTGTCCTGGCTTTTCCTTCTTCAGCTCATACTAGATGCAGGTTCTCCCAGCAACTGTTGTAGGCAGTTGTTCAAAACAGTAGAGAGGCAGTGTACTTCATTGCAAGAGTGCTTCACCTCAACTAGCCTATCCTAGAGTAATGCTGTAGTAAAGGCTGATCATTAGAGGAAAGACAGATGGAACTTTAATCATGTTTTGCAAGCAAATATATAGTCTTTAAGATTAGAAAATGGATGCCAAGTTCAGTGTCAGACTCAAAACTCTTCAAAAAGAAAAACCCCAGAAGAACTGCATAACAACTGCCAGTAGGGAAGTCAGAAGACTATTACATCAATTTCCTCTGCAGATACTGCTTCACTGAGAAGCAGCAATAACACTGCGAACAAACTGAATTCCACCTGCAGTGCAACCTGAAGCTACTGTAGTTAACATTCAACATTGCTAATGCAGTGCATAAACGCAGCAGGATAAAATTTTTCAGCTATAAAGCATTCTGCAGCCTTTCAAGGGAGTATTACACAGGACAGTGTATAACAGTAGTCAAAGATGAGCCAAATACCTAAAATTAAAAAAGAAAAAAAGAAGTTTAGCTGTGATTTACAGGAGACCCACCTTCTTTCAGCAGCTCAGCAGCTCTTGAGTGTTCTGACCTATCGAGCTAGTGAAGAGGGGAAAGAAAGAATGACCCATTACTGTATCACTCCCTGTGATCAAACTGCTACTATTCATCCTTTCCCTCATTACACCTTGAGCATCTGTGGTGTGTCTGATCATTCCGGAGTAGACAAGGCCACGATGCAAAACTGTGATAATTCAGCATAGTCTGTAGCTAAACTATGACATTAATCACCTAATCTTTGTTAGCCCAACTAAATTTCTCAAATAGCAGAATCAGGTCTAGTCATCAATATAAAGACTTCTGTTTCCCTTAGCACTAGAATCTGTACATGATAATATACTAAAAGAAAAATTACTTTCTCTTTATTACACACTATTTAACCTCCATAACAGGAAGCACCTTCTTCAAGAAGCTTCTTCCCTGTGTTCAGCAATCTCCACATGAACTGGCAGGCACAGACAGAAAAGAAATCAGAAAGGAAATAGACACAGTCCCATATCACAGGCAATGCCTGCAGTGAACCTTGGCTACATTCAACAGCTTTAAAAAAAATTATTTGTGTGCACGGTATTGTGTAGTTGGTTCTACATGATACAAAATATTTAAAAAGGGAATGAAAACAGCCATCTGGGTATTAAAGTAATTGATTTAGTTACAGAAATAATGTAAGAATTCAGTTTCTCTTTGAAGACTTTTCTGACAGACCAACTCTCTAGGATATTTTTGTTTATGTGTGTTTAGGCCAAACAGGAAAATACTCTTCTACTGAGGATCATGCAGTGACTCACTCAACAAATAGCACTGGTGCTGCTTAGAGTCCCAGTTAAGCAGCCTGTTCAACTTGCAGAACCAGTCCTATTTTCTACCTGTCTTCTCTCAGTTATTTCTGACAACCCAGTCAGGTTCAGTTAAAGGGATACTGACATAACAGCAATAGCAAGAGATAAGCTTCTTCTAGGATGCTCATCTTGTGTTTGTTTTACTCATCCCTTTCCATTTAAGCTTTTAAGATAAAACATCCCACTTTTGTTTTGTTACTGGTCAGGCACACCACTTGGCCTTCATCTTCTCCAGCACTGCTATTTTGTTACCACAACTACAAGCACAGAAAATGTTGCAAGAATATATTGCAAACCATTTCCTTTTCCACGCTTAGAAACAAATAAAAGACAACAGTGGTCTTTTTAAACAAGTGTGACCATATCAAACCATGATGCTGTATGTAGCAAAAGCACCGATAAAACATCTAAACCCACTTTTCTATGTAACTACTAGGAAAAGCCCCATAAGACTTTTTTTAAAGCCTTAAAGCCAACATGAATCTTTTTTGAAGTAGTCTCAAAAGAATGAGAAGTGCAACCTGGTATTTACGTGGATGATGGGGTGTCCTGCTCAAACTATGATATGGGGGAGATGTTCAAAATAAATTCTCAAAATCAGGTGTCTGAAATAAGACCACATAGCCAAAAGCTCTGAGAAGACCAAATACCTCCCAAGAAGTCACACGGATGACAACACTGCAGGGAATATTTACTTACTGCACTAAAGTAGGTGTTTATTTCAGTCCTTCTCTTAATAATTCTTTGGCTTAACAAGGACCTGTCATGTCATGAATATGGGTCAAGTATCACACAAAATGCATTTGCTTACATAGCTGCCTCAGACGGGGGTCAGGTGACAGCTGGCTGAAACGGCTTGTTGTGTATTATGACCTTGACACTGCAGTGAACCTTTTCGACAGACCGTGATGCGAGGTTTCTCCACTGCCAAAATGAAGATGTTCCTCGGCTTGCACTGTTGCATGGCTTTCTTTGTGGTCCTGAGGCTCCTCAACACCTTCTGGCCGAAGCCCGCATCGGGGCACGCCATCGATTCAAGGGCACCCTGCACCCAGCAGGCCGCACAGGCTCCTACCTACACTTTCGACATCAAACCCCTTCCGCCGCTCCGCCCCGCAGCTGCTCCGCGGGGTCGCTCCGCCCTGCTGCCGCTCGGCGGACTCACGCTGTTTGCGCCGCTCCCGTGCCCGCGGGCAGCGAGCTACGCGACCCGGCCGGTGCCCTGCCGCGAGGGGTTCAGAGCGGAGCGGGGACCGCCCAGTGACGGTCTGCCCGCGCTTACCTTGCGCCGGGCGCTGGTGTCGTACTTGTCGTTCCTGAAGGCGCGCGTGTTCTGGTACCGCTGGGGCCGCGTGCGCGACACGTTTCCCCTTTCCGAGCTCATTCCCCAGGCAACCGCCACTGCCCGCACCTCCTGCCCCGGAACCGCTCCGCACCTCCCCCGGCCCTTCCGCGTCCCCATTGGCCCGCAGCCGCGTCTCTCTAACCCCTCGCCCCACCACGGTTCGCTGCCTCCCGGCTGCTTCCCTCCCACCCGCCCCTAGGAGGAGCCTCAGCTGCAGGCACGGCGCTCCGAGCTGTGCTCCCATTGGTGTGCTGCGGCCGGTCCCGCCCGTCGCCCCCTTGGCCGCTTAGGTAGCCGCTCGGTCCGATGCAGTCTTTCGGAGAGGTGAGGCGGGTGCAGGTTCTGTAGGCCGTGCGGAGAGCAGCCTCCCGAGGGCCGCGTGTTCACTACCGCGGAGCGCGGCTGCAGAGCTGCGGGAGCCGGTCGGGGAGCTGATAGCTGCCCGCCGTTACTCAGCACAACCGGCACCCATCCCCCCGCTGGCCGGGGCTCGAGGAGCGGCGGTTGGGGAAGCGTGGGGCCGCCGTCTCCCGGAGGAGCGCCAGGTGCAGGTACCGGCTGTGCCCCCTTCTCCTACCTCCGGCAGCAGCGGCACCAGGACCGGGGTCTGCGCGGATTGGCACCTTGCGGTAAAGGGGTGATGGGGAACAGCCAGCGGGGGCCCGGCTCGGTGCTGGGGGGTAGTGTTGCGGTTCGAGGATCCGCTCTCGAGGTGTGGCGGCGAGCCGGCCCCTCGGCAGGTCCGGCCGCTTCTCTGCTCTCCTCTCCTGTTCGCAGTACTTCGCCGCTGTCTGAGGCAGGCGTACTGCAGCTCCCCTATGAAGCTGTGGCATGGGGCAGGAGGAAGGGCCGCGGCAGTCAACGGCTTCCCCTCAGGGAGGGTGGCAGGTGGCGGTTTGGGTCTCTGACCCGAACCGGACGTGGGGGTTGGGCCTCGGGACAGGCTTGGGGGCCCCTGCCCTGCCGGTCTCGGTGCTCCCAGCGAAGGGGTGTCGCCTGCGCAGAGGGCCCGGGGTGAGCGGCCTGACCCGTGTCTCTCGGCTCCGTGGTATTGCCGTGGCCGCCTTTGTTGGGGAAACAGGCGCGCTGACTTCTTAAACGCTTGTTAAGCACTGGTGTTTAGCGGGTCTAAATAGTGCCTCCTCGTAAGCGATGTTGACTTCTGCAGAGTGCTTAGGTACAGGCACCTGAAGACTTCATTTAGTTTTTACGAGCCCGATTTAATGTATTTCTTCAGCTTCTGCTGTTTGAAGTGAGAGTGGCGCTGGCCTTAAAATTGCTCTGGGGTATTACTATTTTAAAAGTTTAAAGTATTTGGCCAGAAGGTAACTAGAAGAATACACGACTGGAGAAACCAAAATAGTAGCATATATGAACATAGGCTTTAAACACATAGCTGCTTCTTAGTGATTGACCGACTGGTGCAGTGAAGCACCAGATTGATGTGTCTGAAATACAAGAGGGGGCTTCAACGCCTGTCAGGCTACAGATGGCTTTAGCAGAGAAGTTCGATGGTGCAGAGTCTTGCTTGGAGTATGCAGAACATTATGTAATCTGACTTAATCACACAGCTGTCTGGCTGGGCTCTTTAGAGGGTTGGTTTGTTCCTTAAGTGTGAAGGAATGGCTAGATTTTTCATGTAGTGTTTGCTGTATTCCCTTTCACTTCTCAACTTTGCCATTAGGTTTTGGGGTATACAAAGCAAGCAGCAGGTCTATCTGTATAGAAGTTTAACTTTATATTGCTAGAATTCATAAGCATAGTAAAGCAGTTTGTTTGTTTAAAAGCAGACTAGCCAAAACGAAGATTTGAAGCTATCGGACTTCTCTGGTTTTATGTAGGTTGCTTTCTCTTTGAAAACTGCCTTAAAAAGTTGCTTCACTGTATTTCTTAGTATGGCTTTTTCATTATTGAATAGATGTCCTTTGTGTTCTTTTCCAGGCTTCCTGTGTATTCTTTCTTAATAATTACTTTAACCCTTTTATGTAATACTTAATCAGACACTGATTTTTATCTTTGTTTCCCCCCACTAAATATTCTGTTACTTTTGCTGTTGAAGTAGTTGGAGGATATTCATACCCTTCTGTTCCATTTTTAGTGTAATGCAGGTGTTGAAATAAATATGGGTACTTCAGTAACGGCTTGAACTCAAGTTTTCATTGCTTTGTGTTCAGCGAAAGGGTGAGTTTCTTTTCTTCTTTAGAGTTTCTTAATTCAGCACTATATAGTGAAACATTATGATTAAAACCCTAAACAAAAAACAACAAAAAAGAACAAAAACAAACAAAAAACCCCAACAATTTGAATACTGTGCTTTTGTTACAGTTAGAGCACCACTAAAATTTACAAACCAGGAGCTATATTTACAAGCCTGACTTTGCTCTTTTGTATAGTTCCTATGAAATAAGTAATTTAATTTCGATTTACAATTAGTATAGTTTATATGTAATGTAAATACAATATTTCTAGGTAAGTGTTTTCAAGGGATGGCTTTTGAGGGTAATACGTAGTGAAATACTCAAAGATGTGAATAATGGGAGCCACTTTCTTGTTATGATTTGCAGAGGGAGGAAGACAGGAGTAATTGCTTACATGAAAGAGCTACATCTGCGTTATCCTAGGAATCACAAAATAAATATTCGAGGTGTTCATTCAGGTTAGGTAGACTTCCCCCCCTCTTCTGTCAGCCTTAATGAAAAGGTTAATTGCTGAAGAATGGATTGAAATTACTGCCTGTGGATGCATTTATCATTTTCTATGTTACTTTTTTATCCACAAGAGAGTTAAAGATAAATTTGATAAAATCATCTGGCCTTCCTTTTAAAAGCTATCCCAGTGGGTGGGTGATAACACTTGCGTTCTGTTTTATTTTTTAACCTTTCTTGGTGCAATAGTAGAAGTTCCACTTTTCCACAGTTTCTTCCAGCGAATTTTCCCACTTAAAATAAAAGTACATTTTCCATAGAAATTAAAGGATATATATATATTTTTATATACATAATATACATCTATACAAAATATGCATATATAAAAAAAATACATTATTTTTTGTGTGTATGTGTGTTTTGGTGTTTTTCATTTTCAGGGCTTTTTTGTTTGTTTATTTGTTGTTTTTTTGATAGCAATTTTGCCAGGATTAGGAACTGTGTTTGCAATTCAAAACAGCGCTGGCTTCTTTATTAGTACCGAAATGATAAATAGAAGGTGAAATAGTTATGTTGTTGGGATGTGTTGATCTCTGTGATGCTACTGTAATGAGCACAGAGATTTACATCATAGGTGCTCAGAAGGTGTTAAGACTATAACTTAAGTATTCACAAGATATCTTAGGCAAATTTAAAGTTACTCATCTGTACTTGTGAAACTGTATCATTAAGGTAATTTGTGGCCAGTATTGTTTTTGCCAGGCCTCAGTAGGAGTCCAGCTAAAACACATATCAAGCCTATTTGTTATTAGAGTGCTTTTTAACACAATTCACTTTGTGATACCTTGCTCACTTTCCATAAGTTATATTTAGACTAAATAAAATAATCAATCTCTTAAGACTGTTGATCTCCAGAACTTTTACCAAGATTAGGTGATGCTAAATGAAGAGGGTTTAGTGACTTTTTACTGGAATAATTTTTGGCAGGATGAATCATTAGGAAATCATGGTATGTTTTTTTCTAACATTAAGAACATTAAAAAACCACTTTTGGGTGTAACATTAATTTTAATACCTCATTGAAACGTCTGAACAGTATACTTTTTCAGGAAAGATTATGCCTGTTTACTTGAAGTGAAATTATGACATCTGGCGGATAACTACCACATGAAATGCTGATTCAGTTGAGCTTTTAAACAGTGATATCAGAATTACTCTGTACACCCTGGGGACTCTCGCACCCTGGTTCCATTACAGATCTGGAGGTTAAGAACACACTCATGTGAATTCAGTGAATGACAAACCAGCTCCAGCATAATGAAAATGCTGTTTGCATTTAGTTGAAGATGTTCTCCTGAGGAAGTTCAGTAGGTGTTTTGTGTCAGATTTGTTCAATTAACGATACTAGAGATCTGCTGTTTTTCTTGGGTCTGCGAGGGAAGAAAGTAGCAAGTATTTGTTTTAAAGAAATGGGATGTTGCTAGCTGTGATTTAGATGGAGAATGACCCTGAAATCAGGATCTGTAGTTTCAGTAGACAATTTCCACTGGATTAAATGGACATTATATGAAGTCTGCATTACTGTGAAGCATAGGGAAGAAATAATACTTCAGCCATGGTCTTCAGCATAAGTCATTTGCCACATGTGGCAACAGCCCATTTTTAGCACATTTAAGCTATCTTGGGGGCACAGTACCACTTCAGCTGATTAACTGTGGTTACTGCAGTACTGCCCTGTGTGTGAATTCCACAGGCCAGTTTCCAGTCTTCTGAAATTACTTTGACAAATAGCAAACAATTTCTCAGTAAGATAATATTTGTAGTGTTGCTGGGTTGTTTATAGTTATAAATAATGCAAACTCCTGTTTTAGTTCTTTCTGAAAAGTGGGTTGGGAAGCAAGTAAGAAATTCTGCAGCTATTGTTATATGCTGGTATAGAATGCAATCTGTTGTTCCTGGGCAGAACAGGCTGTTTATACCTCACTTCTGGAGGTACATATTTTTCTAAATTGTTTGCATAAAATAATATTCCCCCTGTTCCCCTAGAATAAATCGTAGTATCTAGCTTTAGCCTTCAGCTTTCCTGAGAGGTGGGAAATTTACTTGGAACAGATGGGTTTAATAGTTTCTGATAGAAATAGAGGTGTGGTTGAATACTAGGTCTTGCAGAAAAAGCCTGTTGAGGCATCAAAGCAGTTTTTATGTGAATGTGAACTTTCTTAGTAGAGGTGAAAGAAGTGTCTCTTTTGGTGCCCACAGCTGTAAGACAAATAAAGAAGGAAAAAAAGAGTTTTTCCTCTGCATAAGGCAGACCAAGCTTTTTGTCAATCCTTAGACCTCTTCCGCTTGTCCTGACTTGTACGTTAAAATTAAACTTGAATCTTGCCTGAAAGGGAGCAGATGAGCTATTTCAAATTTGAATGACTACTTGTGATGATTACATAAATAAGTGAGGTTATTCTTTCTTTAGCTGGCAGAAATATGGTCATTTAGATCTTAATTTAAGAGATAATCTATCTTTTTATGGGAGGTGATCAGTACACCCTTCCTGTCATCTCTAAATTGGTAGTGTTGGTCACCCATATCTAATGGTCTGTGACTTTCCCTGTTTTGAAGAAAACTGGAGACTTGGGGTGAAAGTACTTGGCTGTAGCAGCCTTTGCAAAAAAAAAAAAAAAAAAACAACCAAAAACAAAAACCCCACAACAAACAGGGATTTGTGCCCTACAAAAAGGAATAGTATTCCAAGAATGCTTATGCTGTTTATCAGACTGCCCTGTTTACTACTCTACAAGTATACTCTGTGTAGCACTGTATGCAGTATGCATTCAGACTCTACCAAAAGGAAGAGACCATTCGCATGTCCAAAATACAGACAGTTGATCTGTAGTCTGTGTTCAGCAACTCTTACAGCAGTGTTCTTGAGACTTTTCTATGAAGAAATTTGTACAAGCATGAAAAATGTGCAAGTTGGAAGACAAACTGAAATATGATCTAAATACCACCATGCATTATACTTAGCAATAAGATTTTGTTACTGAATTACCAAAGTATTCCTGAAAAAACATGGGACTGTGGACATAAGAAATCAGCTTTTTTAGTTCCCATTTGTAAACTTGTATCTAGCAGTCAAAGCTTATACATGAAACTGTTTCTGTTTGCAGTGACCTGGCAGAAACGGAGCTTGAGACGGGTAGATAGGCCTGGGATAGAAAAGTTAAAATTCAGATGAAGTGTCAGATGCCTTAACACTAGAAAAGTAGTGTAAATACCTGTCTGAGGTGTGCTGATTTCCAGCATGGCTCTTGGCAGATTTTATCACTCTTCCTACCTCTGAGAAAAACTACTGTCTCAACAAAGAATTTCCTTCCTCCTTCCCTCCCCTCTTCTCCCTGCTGTAAATTAAGAGAAGGACACAATGTCTGCTTTTCGGGGTGAGTGTATCTTGTATACCTAGCTTGCTTTAGGTATGTGTGTGTTTATGTTTTTTTCTCCTCTCACTCTGTTAGCCAATGCTTTGAATTGGCAGTATAAGTTGTAATGAATTGACAAATATCTGTAATAGAGCATTTGGTTTGGGATGGTATTGTTAAAGCATGGAATAAAAATAGTCATGTCATTAATATAATCTGAATTCCTAAGTGCAATATGGGAAACCTTAGCTAATAATTTCTTTGAAGGGTTTGGAAACATTTATGTCAGCCAGTATGTGAAGCAAGGAGGAGGTTACAGGTGGATTTTAGTGTACTGAGGGTCTATAGTGTTTGCTAAGCCAGTAGGAGCATCTTGTTTTGTCTTCTAAGTTTTGACTTTCATGCACCTTTCATATTTATGATACTGCTTACAGGAGCTCGTGAGTCATGATTGCAATACATTCTCTGTATTAGGAAATGCTGTAGTGATTTTTGGCTGCAGAAACCTGTATAGCTGTAGTATGCTTCAAACACTCCAAAATATTTTTATTGTTCTTTATAAGAACAATATTTGTATTTGTCAAGGGAAGCACATTTCTCTTTAGGGCTTTAAGATTAGGAACTTCATTTCCTTCAAAGAAACTCTGAAACTTAAGCTTGTTCTTTCCTGGATAATCATATTTTAGTTTTAATATCTGACAGCTTTTAGAGTTGTCACCCTTCTTTAATAATTTGCTCATTCTAAAGTAGCTGATGATATAGAATAAGCTATTGTGTAGAAATTTATAAGTATATATTTAAATCTGTGTTTTATTAAATATTTCCACTAAAATCATGTATTCTGGAGAGGTTATGTTCACATTTTGCATGAGTTTTCTTTTTTTTTTTTTTGTATATAGGATTGTAACTAGAAACTGATACCATTCTCTCTTCCTGTTTCAGCCGAGAAGATGAATAATCTTTCATTTAGTGAACTGTGTTGCCTGTTCTGTTGTCCACCATGCCCAGGGAAAATTGCCTCCAAACTGGCATTCTTACCTCCTGATCCCACGTACACACTGATGTGTGATGAGAGTGGTAGTCGCTGGACTTTACATCTCTCAGAGCGAGCAGACTGGCAATATTCTTCCAGAGAAAAAGACGCCATTGAGTGTTTCATGACTAGAACAAGTAAAGGTAACAGGATTGCCTGTATGTTTGTGCGTTGCTCACCTAACGCCAAGTATACTTTGCTCTTCTCACATGGGAACGCTGTTGACCTGGGTCAGATGAGCAGCTTTTACATAGGACTGGGTTCACGAATTAATTGCAACATATTCTCATACGATTATTCTGGATATGGTGCAAGTTCTGGGAAGCCAACAGAGAAGAATCTGTATGCTGACATCGATGCTGCTTGGGTGGCCCTTAGGACAAGGTAGGACATTAGTTGCTATTTTTCTTTTACAACATGCTCTTCAAATGGTTGTACTTAATCTGCATTGGTAGTTTAAACAGAAATGCTGTATTTTAGGCTTAAAGCTGATTGCTGGTGCCTTATGCTGGGGTTTTAATACTGTGAAGGATTATTATAGAGTATTGGAGTACTAGAAAAATTAAAACGAAATGAAATTTATTAAGGTATGTTTCAGTCTTGATTGACTAGATGATAATATGTGTCACAATTTGGGATCTTCTCAGCTGGAAATATCAAAAGATGGAAAAAACTAACAGTCAGTTCCCCACTAACTAAACCACTGGTGTGATGTGGGTGAGGGAAAATGCATGTTCTTTTTTCAGACAATTCCATCACCTGCTGTTTTTTGTAGAGAGGAACTGTGGAAAAGTTGTTATGAGAGAACTTGGTAAAGCTCTGGATTACTGTATGGTGTTCATACCACCTTTGTTCCAGAATTCAGACTAGTAGCTACAGCATTTCTAAAGCTAGGTTTCTGTATTAAAAAAAAAGTTTTTTATCTTGGCAAAATATTGTGTGGGAGAGGTTATAATTGTTCCGTGTAAATACATTATAGTGGGAATAAAATCCAGGAATTTTAATTAATGGTGTAAGCTCAAATAGGTTAAAACTGGACAAAGAAGAAGGTGTAAATTGGAAGGATATTATTTCATCAATTTCTGCATTCTAAGCCTATGGTTTTAGGGAGATAAAATAGTAATATGTAACACTCTGGAGGCATTCGCTCATACGGGTAAGAATCATAGGCACCACATAAATAAACTTGAGTGCCCAGTTCTGAAGTTTGAGAGCATTTTTCAGTATATTTTGTTCCATTTAGAGCAATATTCTTGTGTTAAAAACTACAAAGATTGTTATTTAAAATGTTATGTGATAATAAGAATAGATGTTCACCAAAAAACTCCCATCATATTGTGTATTTAGCACTAAAAAGCTGTGAAAATCTGAATTTAGTGTAGAGCAGGATGTTACGGTTTGATCATTATAACTTCAGCATCTTGTTTAATAATATAATATCATGGATGTGATGTAGTGTAAGAGCATACATAAAGACACTAAATTCTGGAGCCTGGTAGTTGTTGCAGTGAATTTAGAACTTGATCAATGTAATATTAGCAATTTTCCTCTTGCTTTGGAGTGGATTATCACTTTTTGGTGTTTTAAACACACATGTTGTCTTGCAATTTTATTATTTTTTTTTTTGCATTATGACAAATGTGTGATACTTCTTTTTAAAGGAGTATCTTTTAGTCACATATTAAGCTAGGAAGAACACTTATTATCATAAACCTCATACAACCACAGGGGACAGGTGTTCAGCCTCATATTCAAAAACATGTACTGTGTTGTTAGCTTAGGTTTAGGCATTTGTTTTGAATGCAGTGGAAAGTTGAGATATAACTAGATCCAGTCTGTAAACCAAGAGCTGCAGCAGATACATGAGTGACCATGGTTTGTAGTTGATGGGTGATCTGAAAGATAGCCACTTCGTGAAATACCCAGTAACATTGACCAAAACCATAATACCATTTTTAACAATGTGGAGGATGTTCTGAATGGCTTAAATGTACCAGAAAATTGAAGAGAACTAGATGGTGAGACTCAATTCAGTTTACAGGCTCTTTGTAATTAGTCTCTTCCTCCCCTTAACAAATTTCTGATTGAAAACTTAAAAGAAAATGTGATTGCAAATTGAATTCTTGCCTCCATTTTTGAACTGTACATAGTGTACCTTCGCTAATTAAACAAGGTTGTTCATTATAATATCCTGTCTGAACATCCCCTTTGTTGAACAGACATTGTTGTGGGGGGACAACTAAATACCTTCTACATCTGTCTGCTTGTCCCTCTTCATTCAGGAGTGACCTCACCTCAGTTCTATTTGCTGCTTTCATAAAAATGTGTCAAAACCTCCTTCAGAAATATATAATTCTGTAGAGTGTATAGAGCTTGGATTGATCTGCCCAACTTCTGGATTTTGCAAACATTAACTGATTTTTTTTTTCCCATGCTTAAAAAGTGGTTGGTGTTACTGGTTTCTACTGTGGCATTTTCAGCAACTTCCAAATTGGCAGACCTAGTCTTGTCCTTCCATCTGAATGCTCAAGGTGCTGAAGTGCTCCCTGCTACATGACTCTGGATATGCTGGTTTACAGAGTTTGGTTACCAGTCTATGCTACTCTCTCGAGCCCTGAGACAGTGTTCAGCTGTGTTTAAATACTTGCTGAGTATCTAGACCAGAATGCATCTTTTGAGCATTTGACACAGCATTGGTTCACCTTTCTAGTATAGCCTGTTCTGTCAGTGTTACCCTGGCACCATTTTTGCTATTTTATAATGTAAGTATTCTGCAAAAACAAAGTTATTCAGTGGATTGTTTGCAGGACAGATATAAGTCTACCTGTAGCTCCTTTGAAATTCATGTTGATGGGATGAAAGAAGAAAGGGATCCTAGACTTTTAAAGTGTACCTCACAGATTGTGATGAGATGAAGAACAGAATGGAGAAATTACCTTTGTGGAACGAAGGTTGATCACAGACACCCACAGCTCCCTTCATTCCCTGTTCTGCAAAATGGGATCATAGATCCCAGTATTAAAAGGTGTTTCTGGGTAACTAAAATGCTGATGAGGACTTCATTGTATAGTCAACACATGTGCTTTTGTTGGACATACGTTAGTGTGTTAAATTTTGTATCTTGAAGGAAAGCCCAGATGGCCATCTGTAAATTGGTACAGCTGTCCAGTGGAGACTAGGCACCTAGGGTGAAATGGTCTGGAATACTAGTATTGAGGGTGTTAGTGAAATTTGTCCACCACCACTTTGCTGTAAGGGCATGTGAATATTATAATTCGTATAAATTAATATGGAAAGATAACTTGGCAGCAGATGAGAAGAGGTAAACAGCAGATGCAGATTCTGAATTGTACCCCTATTCTTCACCTGTTTTGACTATTTTAATAGGAAGCAGTAGCTATCCATGAGGATGCTGACTGCAAGAAGGCAAGGTGATTCACTGCCATCATGTTTGGGAAAGTTGTGCATCATTGCATCTTCATGTGCATCGGGCTATATAGAAGCTGCAAGTGAGGACATTCTTTTTCTGACTGTCATAGGTATGAAGTGTTGAAATGCCAGGAGTCATTTTAGGGTACGCCTATTTCCTGCTGTCCCAGTCTCTGAAGGCTTTTGATGACACCCTGGGAAGGGTGGAAAAGTTTAACCAGCCCCAGGCAAATGCAGTGCAGGTGGCACTCCTTCAGAAACTTGAAGACTTGTTGGAGTTACTTCATGATCAGATTTACCTTTAAGAATCTAAACAATCTTTTTTGTTGTTGTTGCTTAGCATGAACAATAGAATAGTTGAAAAATTGAAAGGTAAATCTCGCCATCAGGCTGGTGTGTCAAAGTAAACAGAATGTGTGTAATTTGAACAGTTAAATACTGGAATTAAAAAAAAAAATCTAGAAGTGTGAAAAATACATACCTCCAGAAGTGCGGTATAAATAGCCTGTTCTGTCCAGGAACAACAGATTGCGCTGTTAAAGGGAATTCACAAATTATGTTGTGAGTGGTTTTTGGTTTTTGTTTTGGTTTGTTTTTTGGTTTGTTTTTTTTTTTTTTTTTATTCAAAAGTAGGGTGGGAGTTTTTGCTAGAAGATAAGGTACCTTAACTTTGAATAATTGGAGAGAAATCAGGCTTTTGTTTAAATTGAGCTTTTATTTAAGTTGATAAAGTAGCTGAATTTGTAATGAAATCTTGCCATTAAGACAAATGTACCAGCAGCATGGTAAGGTTCAGAAAAGGGCAAACCATCGTGAGAGAGGCAGAGGAGATGCAGTTTCTTTATTCTACCCAAGTGATCAATGGGCTTGCCTCTCATAAGGCATAGTTCCTGTTTCTGCTAGCATTGTTTTGTCTTGCATACATAAAAGAGGAATCTACATCTGAGTTGAGGAAGAGGTATGCTCCGAAATCTTATTATGGCCTGGAATGTTGATAGTTAAAGGTGTGGAGATTGTTCATGCCCTTCATGTTCCGCAATTTGTAGATGCAATTTTGTGTGTTATGTGCATGATGATAAAAGGTCCTGAAATGTGAGTTGAAACTTCCCTAAGAATGTTCCCCCTTGTTCCAAGAAGATCAAGCACTGCTGTCAGTTGGCTAAATGTGTGTTGCACTGGCTCCACAAACAGTAGCCTCTCTGGAGCATCTATGGCTCTTCATTAGCGTGAATCTGAGAGGTACTATTGAAAATGTACCCTTCTGTCATTGATTTTTACAGATGCTTTATTATTGTAAAGTGAGCAAGTCTTCTAGATTAACAGCAGTTCAGAAGTAAAAAGATGAATTGCTTTCTGTCTCTCTTAAATATATCAAGGGCAAAATAGCAGATACTCTTTTAAGAGCCTGTAAGTGTAGTATGGTAATTTCAGCTAGCATTTGGCTGTTGAATGTAACTTAAGTTTAAAACAGACCAAAACAAAAAAAACACTTTTTACAACTAGACATTCATTTTTTAAGTTTGCATATTGCAAACTGATAATGTGATGTATATCCAATGGAAGTGTGTAATATGGTGAATATCCAGTGTAAGTAATGTGTGATGAATATCCAATTAAAATGTTCAAAGTAAGGTCGGATGGTGCTTTGAGCAACCTCATTGGACTAGGTCATCTTCCAACCCAAACTGTTCTATGATTCTGTGAAAACAAAAGAGGAGGGAGGGGTTGAGAAGGGTGGACAGCCACTAATACAATTAAATTGCAGAAAAGGTCTTGTTAGAAAGACAGAAATATAAAGGAAATGGTGAAAGAGTTTCTGCTGCAGAATGTTGTGAAGTCTGTCGCAAAGGAGAAAAAGAAATTTATTTCATTGATCTTTTAGCAGTTCTTTTCCTGGAGAAGCAGAAAAGATCAGTTTAGCGTGTTTAGGATTGCCTCTTTTACAAGAGACCGTC